TTTTTAAAATAAATTTATAGATTTTTTTATTAAGTATTTTGATAATTAAGTTATAAAATTTTTAATATAGTTATATATTTAAAATATATTAAATCTATTAGCAATTTTGATTTTTTTTTATTAAGTTATATAAGTTTTTTTTATTGTTAAGAAATATAATATTGGTTTTTAAATTTATCATTATTATTTTTTTAATAACATGTTATATTAAAAATGATTTTATTTGATTTTAAATATTTAATTAATTTATAATCTTTATATAAATTAATAATTATATTTAAAAATATTAATTAATTTATGATTATATTAATAAATAAAAATTCCATTTATTTATTTTCAAATATTTTTTATTAATTTCTTGAAAAATTTGAATTTGAATTTTGCAATCTAAATTTATAAAGCATTAATTATTGTATTATAAATTTATAAATTTATATAAAAATATATTATAAAATAATATTGTTTATTATTTTTATAAAATTTGAAATAAATAAATTTATCAAAAATATTAATTATAAATTTATTTAAAAACATTAAATATTATTTTTTATAATATATGAATATTAAATTAAATGTAAATATATTTTATTTTACTATTATTAGATATATAATTAAAAAGGTTATTTTAAATTTTCTAAATAATTTATTATTAAAATATTTATAAAAGCAAAAAAAAAACAATAAATATTATATTTTAAAAATAATAAAATAATAAAATTAATCTTGTTTTTAATTAATAGATTTATAAGTTAAAAAATTCATTAAATAATATTTTTATTAAGAGACTTAATAAAATTTCAATATAATAATTTTTTAATATTTAACATTAATAAAAAAAATTTAAATAAAAAATAAAAAGTTTAAATAAAATTATATATACTTTTAAAAATATTGAAAAAAAATTTTATTTTACAATAGATATTTTAATAATATAATTTTAATAATAATGAAAACTAACAGTTTTTTCCAACAGTATTATATTAAAATATAAAAGTTAAAAAAAAATATATTTTTTATATTCAAAATTATTTTTGTGAATTTGTATTTTGTAAAGAACTTAAATAATCCAAAATTTCAAGCAATTTTGAATATTAAAAAATAATCAATACTAATAATTATCATAATTCTTAAATGATTTATAAAATAAAATTTATTATTAAATATATTATTTTATTAAACATTATAATCTACTTGTGTAACGTATGCAATATATATATAGCAACGCATACCGATGAGTTTACAGAAATCGAATACAATATGTCACTTTGCCCCGAATGTAATAAAGAATTTACAGGACCTGAATGGTGCATGTCATGTAATGGACTTCACTTTCAACAAGATTTTGAAAAATGGACAAGTGGAGATAAAAAAGTTGACGAATTTATAAAAAAGTCTCAGCTTCAAGCTGAGTGGCATTTAAATTGTTTAGAATGGATACCGTATACACAATTTCAAGATGTCAAATATGTCGCTAAAGGAGGATATGGCACTGTATATTCTGCGATATGGGAAGATGGTTTTATTGAAAAATGGGATGTTCTCAATAAGAAATGGGTTAGGGGTTCTATTTATCCTGATGGGAAAGTAGCATTAAAAAGCTTATATAAGCTTAGCTCAGTTGACGATTTTATAAATGAGGTAAAGAATATTAAACTTCGTTTAACTATAGTTTTATTATTAATATAATTTATTTTAAATTTTAGATTGAGAAACATTCCATTATGTGGGTTGGTTTCATTGTTAAATGTTACGGAATTACACAACAACCAGAGTCATTAGACTACATGATAGTTTTAAAGTTTCAAGAAAATGGCAGTCTCAGGAATTACTTGGACGAAAATTTTTACAAGATGGATTTGAAATTAAAATTAATTTCATTGTATAATATTGCAGATGGTTTACGTAGTATGCACTACAGGAAATTAGTTCATAGAGACTTTCATCCTGGAAATCTTTTATATGATGTAGCATTACGATTGAATATCGCGGATCTAGGTTTTTGTAAATTTTTTGATAATACTCAAGAAAGCAAAACTCGCCAAGAAATTTGTGGAGTTCTTCCATACATTGCACCCGAAGTCTTGTGTGGTCATGCTTACACACCGGCAGCAGATATTTATTCATTTGGAATCGTAGCATATGAAATGATCACAGGATTTCCTCCATACTATAATATTCCTCATGATCAAGATCTTGCTGTACAAATCTGTCAAGGCTTACGTCCAAAAATTCCATTCAAGACGAATAAATTTTTAGTTAGATTAATAATGCAATGTTGGGATGCGAGGCCATCTTATAGACCCGAAGCTAAAGAAATAGAAGACACTTTACGCAAATGGATTAAATTGATCTCAAGTGATGAACCTTCGGATTTTAAGGAACAAGTTAAAGATTACGAAAGTGAAGTTTCGAAAGAATCACCAACTAGCAAATCCTCGGGACTTAATTATAAAACACACCCAAATGCTATTTATACTAGCAGACTTTTGAGTTTTTCTAACTTATCACAACCCAAAAACGCCCCGGATTATGAGAAAGAACTTGAAATGTTGTCGGATGACTATACAGGTAAATATACTATAGAGAGCATAACGTTCGTTACATTTATATTTTATTTTATTAACAAATTTTAATTTCAATACCTTATTTAGCGGACTCAAGTTTGCATAAACTCGAAATATTGTAACTTTTTAGGTATTTTAAAAATTAAATTTTTAATTGCAATTAATGACTTTATTGTATGATTTTACTTTATTAAATATTACTTAAATATTATAGAGAACTTAGTCCTGGAATTACTGTACGATTAAACTTTTTCTATTTTCTATTGTTGATTTTTTTTGCGCGTTATACATACACGGTTGCTTTTAAAATTAGCGTTATTTATTAATTAAAATACGTATCGTGTTCGATTCTTCTAACATCATTTTCGTATTTATGCTAAGACATTTTTTGCAATGATTATTTCTGCGGTTATAATTTTTTATTATTGGCAATAAAGTGTGTTTTAAATATGTACGATATTTCATGATTTACTGATATATCACTTGAGCATTGTGTAAAAATCCAAGATACATTATCGATCAAATGGTGGATTCAGAAATGATCGAAATCCATGCACACTGTAAATGTTGATGGAATAATCATTTTGTCTTTCTTTCGGTCAATAATCTTTTCCATTAACATTTCTTCACAAAACACACTCTTTGATTGTTATTCCTTCATCCCAATTTTCTTTATTAAGCAACCTTTTTAATTTAATTGTCTCGTGAGCCAAAAATTGATCTCAAGTTATATAACCATTTCCATTACCTTAATATTCAGTATAGTTGAATAGTAATACAAAAATAATAATAAAATCTGCCAAAACCGATTTTTTTATTATAAAAAAAAAAAAATCAATTGAAAAAATTTATTTGGAATTATGATAACACCATCACTATCGGTTAAAAGTAAAAGGATTAAAATAATACGTACACAACATTCTTTCGAGTTTACCAGCTCTCGTCAATTGTTTAAGGTGACACTTGATCATTTGTATTCGATTAATTGAAATGAAATAGACCAAATACAAATACAAATTATTATTTATCTATTCAAAACTTTTGTAAAGAATTAAATTAAATCGGAAAATACTGTATATAGTCCATAAAATATAGCGAGTAAAAAATATTTTTTTCCAATTTTATTCATTTACAGTATTTTAATTATAATTGCTTATGCAATTTACGATATATCACGAATAAACGAATTTTCGAAAATTTTTTTTTTTTTTTTTTCAAATTGAATTACTTACGGTATATGGATTTTTATACGAAAGTCTGTACGATCGTGAATTCTCTTACAATGATTTAAAAAGTTTATTATTAATTATATTAAAATCCTAATGGAATATTTAATCATCCGATGAAATGATCGCAACAATAAAAAATAACGAATACAGTAATGATCACCCTTAAATCTGACCGTTACACGAACAACGAAAGTCATTGACAAAACGACTTTTCAACAAAGAATGGACGTGTAAAAAAAAAAAAAAGTCGTTTTTCGTTTTTGCAGTTTACATACCATGCATAATCCGGAATCCATATAATTGATTATAATGCATTGTATGGTCCTTTTTTTTTCTTAATCCAGGATTCAAACAAATAAGTCATGAATGCAACAAATTATTCTTAATGGTCATTAACAGAATGAATTCTAATTTAAGAATAATTATAAAAAAGATTTCAGAATGCATGCAGTCATTCAACATGTAATTCATTGTTAAATCCTGGAAATTTTTTTGAAAGAAAGAAGTCGCAATTCATCGTACGTAAAGTAATATTATCCAATGACATACTACATTTAGGATATTGGTTCGACCAGACAGCCGATTTACTTTGTTTACATTTTTAACCTTTTTATCGGCATGAGGGCATCGCATTGATCATGTCATTCATTAATACATTTGAGATCTGACGGTGTTTTTATTGGTTACTTTGTCAATCCGTGAAGGCAATTAGATATACCGAGAACAGCGCTTAAATAGTTATGTTTAATCATCCTATACTTTTTCTTTATTTAAATGATACTTATAAACCAATAAGACTATATTATATTCATAATCTGCAAGTTTATACGTACAAATTTTTTGATAGAATGATTGTATCTTATATCATGAAATGATTTTTTTAGATTTTTGTACTACTACTACTACCCTACTCTTTTCTTCTCTTCCTTTTTTTTTTGGCCTCATATATACAATCTGATAGAGAAGAGTAATCTTTTTTTTGGTCGCACATTAAAATTTTTTGGTTCTTACATATTATTATTTTTTTTTCTCTGAATTCTAGTGTCCAACATTCGATATTTAACAATGTTCTTTTTTTTTTTTTTCGGAGAAGCATATGTACGTGAATTGAGAATTATTTGCGCTTATAAATGAGGAATTTTCTAAAATCTTGAGGTTTTTTGTCCTTACTGTAATACATAAGTGAAATCATCATTTTTTCAAATTTTCAATTGTCTCTATTGTTAATGATGGCATTAATGTCCATGCGATTATTTACTTTGGACGCAACCTCATCCTCTGGTTCCTTTTTGATGGAATTATTCCCAAACAAACTCGCACTCAATTTATTGGAAAAGGAAATCAATTCATCGACATTCATTTTAGAAAAGTCCACGGCCTCCGATTCATGAGAAGTATTTTTGTTGTAACTTTTGGAAGATACGATTTTACTCAGATTTTCAACCAATTCCTCTATATGGTTGATCCTGACGCTTAGCATGTTAACGTAACCATTGTTCATAGCGCATCGATCACAACGACGGTTGACAGCAGATTTGGTTTGACCGAAAGAAGCGGTGGTATCATAAGGGTATGTCAAAGATCGACGAAGACGAAGAACACGTCGTCTTCTCTCTGCATTGATGTTCGCTTCTCCGATGGAATTCACTCTACGATTTTTTGTTGCAGATTTAGATTGCTCGATTTTAAAAATCATCTTGTATATAGTTGATAGAATTGATGAAATAAGCTAAGAATTGAAATTCCTTTGATATTTTAAAGTTTTGTGTATATTTTATTTTTCAGTGAATATTTGCCTTCACACTTTCAAAAAACTATTTTGCTATCTGAGAAGGAAATCAGGGCTGACATGCCCTATTTATGTGTTTTTTTTTGGTGACGTGTGTGACGTATGTTTTCAGTAATTTATTAATTTATATACAATACGTCATTCTGCATGATCGTCTCTGATATTGCAGATATGTTCCAGGAATTCGTGATCAAGAAGGCAAAATCAAATCGCGTGTCTTTCTTAATATTTCTTAACCAGTCGCATCGTCCTTAGAAATTGTGAAAGTAGTGGTGAGATGACAATCACCACACTCGACTCTCTCTAAAGCATGAGCGAGATCCAATAAAACCATTCGCTTTTTTTATTTACACTAAAGTCGGATCCACACGCTCGAATACCAGGTAACCAAATGTTTTTAATCGAACTAATATTAGACAAGTGTGTCAAACTCCATTACCCCGATTTGGATGTGATCTATGCTAAATATAGGCCCTGAACATAATATTGTAGTGACTCAATAAAACAACACTAAACGCCACATAAATTATCTAATATTTAGGTTATTTTTATCCTGTGGTGCATCGAATATAGTTGGATCAGCACATCGAGCGTTTAACACATCTATTCATTTATGCAACAATCTTGAGCGTACAATCCTCTTTAAAGAAAATCCCGATACTGACCTTAACTAACTGTTTCGAGATAAGTTTAGAAAAGTCATCACTCGACCGCACATCAAACATCCGTGTTCTAGTCTTTTCGAGCATATTCATTGTGTATCGCAAGGAAGATCGTAGTTAAAAACAGGAGTGAGTATGGATTAAAAATAAGATTTGTGATAGGTAAACACTGTCATGCCGTTATTAGACAACGTGATTATCTGAATATTGGTTGTCATTAAAATGTTTAGTGGGTAACGATAAATCTTAAATTGACTTTAACGTACCACCACCTAGCATTAGTTAATGGATGGAAAAATTAGAATACAAGATAATGGTGTTTTGTTACACCCGTCGTCTATTTTTAAAACTAATGGTAGCTGTCTACATGAGCTGGTCGATGGTTCCACTTTATCACAAAAATGTGTGAAATGGAATACGATATATTGATTGACGAATTTGGTCCGAAATAGAGTCTATCAAAATGCATTTTTTATTTCTCAATACAGTACTGGACATGAAATTAAATGACATCAACTTCGCTTACTCTCTCAATTTTCATTTAACGGAATTGAAATTCAATGAATCATTTCCTTTCAGTAAAAACACATTGTGCACTATAAAATTGATATAAATGGTCTAGTTTATCTTCGGAGCGGAGAACATACGATGCAATAATCATCACCAATCGAGTATTTTGTGGTATTCAGGTATTTATTTGATTGCAAATAACCTCGTGAAGCACAACATCTCATAATCAATATTAGGTAAATGCCTTTTAACGTTAGAGAATGCCTATACAGTTTGTTTTAAACATTCGTTATACGGTCCCTGATTTTCACAAAGCTGTCAATTTGTTAATCCCTTACGTACATCAAAACGGCAAAAGACATTATAAACCGTATATGGTGCATTTTTATTGTGTGGTTCATACATCATATAAAAACTAGATTTCTTAACAGAATAAGAATAGAAGTTATGCTTGATCCGTTAATATATTTTGCGCCTTGAGACAATCGTTGCACCACGCGATATGAGGGATGTATTAAGACTTTTTTAATGGCTATTTACGTTGGTTATTTTTCAGAAAAGGACATCTCCAGATTCAATAGTACAAGAAAGGTTCATAACGTGAGGTCGCGGTCAAATTGAAATCATGATTTGTTCGGATTCCAAGTCCGTGGGTCATTTTCGGAAGGAAAAAATTTAAATCCGTTATTGTTATCAAATGACTTATGATGATTGGATTAAGGTTCTCAATGATGATTCTTGAACCGTATGTTTTTTATAAATATGCAAGTCTATGCAATTCCATGCGGTTTCAAATGACTGGCGGCATCGGAGAATTATCAAGTTCCACCGGTAGTTCGGGTAATTACATAAATAAAGTTACCGTCGGTCCTTATGAACGCATTTCCATGCAAAAACTTAAAGACCATTTGGCAAAGAAAACTAAAACCATGCGGTATTCTTAATGCAACGCAATTAATAACATTCGCAAAAGGTTGTGAAAGAATTTTATTACTCGGGAAGCATTCGATTGTAGGCGTGAAGAGCGGTTTAGCAATTAGTTATCGTGCATGAAAATTTGTACACATGTACGTTACAGGTATTACCGTACTACTACTGTACATGATTAAAATACCATCGACTCCGGTTTTTGATCTCCTTCCTGCCTGGACCACCGTCAACCAAATTCTAAAACTAGCAGAGCGAGTATACATTATAAACTATAATAGCTAAAAAAACAATAACCAGAAAACCATAGTTATTTTCGAAATGACTAAACCGCATTACATTCGGTTCCTTCTTTTCGTGCAAAGTTAATTCCCGTTTTTTCAATTCAGTTCTAGATTCTTCCAACAATGCTTCGAATTCTTCGTTTATCAATTCAGTTACACGCGTTGAAATGTTTGGATAGTTGGGCATCTTGTCATTGTGAACTGAACACGTTATTTTACCATCATAGCTTATAATACCGATTGCGAAACCTTTTAAAGCATGGAGAGATCTTAGACAATAAAAATATAAATGGAATTTTCCACGTGAACACCTCACTTACCGCCAGGGCAGTTTTGAGGTGGTGTTACTGTGAAATGTTCTATCTTTTGTCCGGCAAAGGTCAAAGAATGCATAGGCCCCTGTCATTTATATTATAAAACACGGAATGATAATAAATCGTCTCTTTCACACATGGTAGTCAATAAGATTTGATACATGACTAGAGAGAATGCTCGAATGACGTTCAAAAAAATACTTACAGGAACGTTTGTGATCACTCCGTGTCCAACTTCTTCCATAGCTGTCATTAGTCTCTTGTTAAAAATTCCAGGAATTGGCCAATTGCTAAGGAAGATATATCTGAGTTTTGCGATTAAACTACTTTTCAATCTCTTCATCTCTCGGTGAACATGCAATATCGATTCTTTGATGGTCTGCTCTTTCATTGAGATAAAGCTCCATTCACCTAAGGTCAAAAATAATAACCACGCCTAAGAAACAAACCCTTGTAATTCACACGAAAAGAATATCGCAAACCTGTGGACGCATTGTTGCATTCCCAATCTGTTGCAACGCGCATAGACATTGGGATGAACATCATCAGTTCATCATCCAACACACGGTTGATCTCAGAAAAGTATGCACGTATGGCGCGAGTAATAATTGTCATCTACAAGACAAGAGCTCCGTTAGACCGTGATTCGATAATGATTTACAATAAGTGCATTGATACCTGCCATGACATCATTAAGTGAAACTCCATAGGCTTTTCGCGGAATCGAAATATCGGTTATCTTTAACTCTTTCGTCCAGCTCATCGTCCTTTCTAACTTCCCGCTCTCTCGGTATACCAGATTTTTTCTCATTAAAGACATCTTCCCTATTTTAACTTGATTTACGATGCCTACCCCAATTTCATTAAAGAGTAACCACAGAATGTAAAGTGCATTCAATAAGAGAACATAGGGGACAAATAAAAATTCGGGTATTCTGTCTACATGCGACTTAATCGCGCGATGTCTTAATAACGGTAATTCCGAGGGTTTGGGTTTAGGTGGTGGTGTCATCCTGTCTTTAAAAAACTTTATCATGTCTGATAACAGTTCACTACCTTCCAAGGTCAAACTCATGATTGCGCGCATACATCCTTGACCATCGGCAATGCAATGGTGAGCCTTGATGACCATTGCCGAACGTTTTCCACCTTCCAGTCCGTAGATAACGTATGCCCTCCACAACGGTTTATCGAAATCCATCTTTTCCGATATACACTTGGATACGCAGTCTTTCAATTCTTCAATTGTACCAAATGATAGATTTCGTGTTTCGATATTAGCGCACACGTCAAAATTCTCAACTTCCTGCCACATATGCCGAGACCAGAATGTTCCACCGTGTACGATGGATTTGAAGCGAGGGAACTTGATGATCAACTTTCCAAATTCCGATCGAACTAATTCGATGTCGACGTTGCCTCCAAACATCCAGACAAGCGACATCATCCATGGATAATTCTCTCTCTGTGATTTACACATTTGGTTAGCCGTAATCATAGTATAATAATGCATGGTGTGACACTGCGAAATAAGAACCATTATACATTACACCAATTCGAAGACAAAAATCGTCTACTCTTCCCAACTTCGTGCCTGAGATGCTTTCGCTCATTATTCTGTGATTGCTTCTTTTTTCGGTGACCAAGTTATACCTGATGGCGGGGAAAATGGATCAATTACGAACAAAAAATTCTTTATATACTGAGTCTGAGTGTAACGTTATTGAATTATTATCTAAAAATGGAAGTCACAAACACCATCTTATCGATGAATACCTCTTCAACAATACCTACGGGGAATACTCTATTTTCCCTCGTAAACAACGAATTTTGTCATTTTCCCGTGCAAATGCATTTTCCTTGTCTCGCATTTTATTGCTGATGCGGAAGCTCACGTAAGAAACGATCTTGCATAAAAGTAATCTTTCACATGATTCTGGTGTCATCAAAAGTCGAAAAAAAAAATTCGATGCTATAATTGTTGATCAATGCTAATAATGGAAGTATAATTTTAAATCATTAAAAAAAATTGTTTTTTTTACTTCTAATCAGATTGCAATATGAATTATGAATGCGTTTATTAAAAAAAATATTTTGATTTATTGATTACTGTATTTATTAAATCATAAATAAAAAATGATATTTTTTTGTTTATTTACAGTATTTTTAATATATTATATATGTGAATAATAAAGAATTGTTTTTTAAAAAGTTAAATAATTGTTTTTGTCAAAAAAAAACTTTCTTTTGATTCCTTGCATTTGAAAAAAAAGTTTATAAAAGAAAATCAAAATTTTTTTATAAAAAAAAATTTCTAAAGATCTTGAAGGGTTCTCTGTATCCTTTAAGGATCAAGCCGCCAAATCTTTACATGTTTTTCTTGATGTTCTCATTATCAATATAAACAAATATTTTATAGTTTCATTTACAAAAATATCAAAAACAACATTATATATATCACTTATCCAATTAATATTACTAACTTTTCAAGTTTATAAACTCTTTAAAAGTATAGCTAACTTTAGTTTATTTCCAAAAGAATAATCAAAAAAGCTATAAAATAATATTAGTAACTTTTGAAGTTCAAAAAAAAAAATTGGAAAATTATTATATCAATATTAAAATAATTCTTTTAGATTCAATATCTCTTAATACTCTTAATTTCTTCTTTTATTATTAACATATATTTTTATTATCAAATAAAAATAAAATTAATATGCGACACACCACAATAATGCTAAGAACTTAATTGGATTGCTATTCAACAATCTACAATCCAACAAAAAAACCATAGCAATTAATACAGCCAATGCCCTCAACATCAAGTTCGTCAACCAACTCCTAAAGTATAACAGCAATGAAAAACTTACATGGTTTCAGCTCATTTCACATATAGGCATAGTGCGTTGTGGACCCGAATCAAGCTGGTTCAAGGATTTCTGCAATCCAACCAATCTCCTTGGTTCCCATGGTCCAATACCCAATTCCAAACCATCCTTCTGGTACATACACAATATTAATTGTTTCGTCAAAACATATAAAAAATGTCATAATATATGTGAGAGAACTGTTCTCAAAGGGAGACATTACATAATAGATCCGAACAATAACCTATCCAGATGTAGTGGATATCCATTAGGAACTCTCATCGCCGGTTTCTACACGATATCCTTTACAAGCACATCTGCATCTTCTTTGTGGGTACTCTCCAATCCTAACAAACCAACCGAATATCATTTAAGCAATATAATTAATGAATTGTATAACACGCCTCAAAGAGGCGAAAGTATCCTCCTGTCTGTCGATAATTTCTCAACCTCTCTTCCCATTTCAATACTTCAAAGCATTGGATTTCATCAGTACTATCATCTTCAACTTCACCAAGGCAAAATCATTACAAATGACACCAATATCGAGTTAATCAATTCAGGCCACCCGTTAGATGACCTCTTGCATGTCTTATTTGACATTCTTCATTGGTGTTCACTAAACAGCACAATAGAAATCAGAAATAACAGGAAAATACTTCAAAATGCTTCCAGCTATCCAAGAAGAATGACCAAAGTCAATTTCGCACCAATAATAGTGAGAATCAATCAACTAATTGAAGACAAATCGATCCAAATTATTTATACCAAACCAAAGTCCAATCCAAAAACAAGTAGTCTTATCCATTGGATCAATCCTATACTGCACTTCCCAGAAAGCCCACTAATTAATAATCAACAACTTGGCAGCAGTGTCAGATGGTGCAAAAAGATATTAAGTATCACCAAGACCTATATAATTTGTGAAAGCATATCAATCTTAAAAACATTCAAATCTTTCCATAACTCACATGACCTCAAAATAATCAGCAAATCTAACAAGGATATCAGATATACCAAGTCCAACAAGTACAGTGATCTGATTGCTTTCAGGGTCAAATTACTTTCAGGAACACTTTCCACAAGGAAAAACCTCCACAAATTATACTCCGAACAATACCCAGATCCATATTGTCCAAGATGTGACCTCTGTACTAAGGATATACAACATGTTTTTAAATGCCCATCTGCAGCGGAAAATATCAAGCAAATTATTTTCAATATTAATATCATCTTTCACCCAGAAGATGATCATGAAACGATCTCTCGCGCATGGCAACTAGTGGAGTTAGCCTGCGGCATCACAGACAATATTTTTTCTACATCCAATCTTTCCAACTGGTCCAAAGCATCAACTGAATCCCTAACGCAACTCTACAAGCTGATCTGGATACCCCGATGCAGCACAGCCAATACCTCTTCTATCACCGGCATCAAGTGGAACAAGAATCATCACAATATTCCAATGGAAAAGAAAAACAATCAAAATACCAGCAAACCTAACACATCCAAAAGTTCCCCTTCATCTACCCACCAAGATTTAATCATCACTGACTTACCAGTCACAATAGCAAACTTTTATATTCAGAGCAAATTTAACTTCTCCAAATGTATCGCTAACTTAATAACTGATTACTCTAACTTCCTTTCACAAAATATCGAGTAGGTATTTATAGCTGCTCGGAGCCACTTGACAAGGTGTATTGTTTTAAAATTTATTTTCAATACTAGTTAAGCAGTTACTGTAAGCAAGCTAGCATTTAACTCATTGTCTTGTTACACATGAGAGATGTTGTTTCTTTCACAATGTACTGTATATATACCACTATACAAATTAAATAAAGAAATGATGTTTACCTACTAAAAAAAAAAAAAAAAAGGAATTACAGAGATAAAAGAATTTGATAAAAAATTGTAATTAAGTAGTTTGTAATTTTATTATTTATCTGTTTAATTTTGTTATAACTAATTTTGGATTTTTAAAAGTTTTGTTTTTGAAAAGGTTGTAAATAGTCTTATTGATAATATTAAATTAAAAGATATCAAAATCTTATTATAAAAGAAGTTATTGATTTGTTTGGAAAAATATTCTTTCAGCCAATTAAAAAATTTGTTAAGATCAAAGTTTCTTTTTTGCATAATATTTTTAAAATATTTGTTAATTGTTTTTTGAATTATTTGAGAATTATTTTCTATTTGTTTATTTTTATCATATATTTAAAAGATTTATTTTTGTATTTAAAAAACCAAAAGATTTTCTAATATGGCTTTTAAGTTTGCTATAAAAGATTTTGTTATTTTATTTATATTGAAGTGAAATTCTTTTAGTAATTTTTGTTAGGCTTGGGGTTTAGGCTTCTTATATTAAATATTTTTTGAATTTCTTAATTTTGAGAAAAAAATATTTAAATTATTATTGACTATATTATAGAATAAATAAAATTCTTCTTTATTATTTAATAAGATAATAGGATTTGATATAAATGAAAAAAGTAATTAGACTTATTTATGACTTTATATCTTAAATAAAGTTTTTGTTATTTTTTTTGGAAATATTTTTAATATTAAATTTGTAAAGTAGTTTTGATTTTTTTTTAATTAATATCATATAGAGATTAATTGAAATAATATTATATTTTTGATCTTGTATTGAATAACTTTGAAGGTTAAGTTTTTGAATAGTTAGACTTAATTAATTCAAAAAACATTGATAAAAATAATAAATATAAAAATTTTTTAATCAAACTGTTGACCAATATTTATATAGTTAAAAAAAAATTAAAAAATTAAATATTCTTTTTTTTTTTTTTTTTTTAAAGAGCAAGATGACAATCTTTTTAATTTATTTATTATAATTTTAAAATAATTTCAATTTACAAAAAAAGATATACGTCTTTCTAAGCTATAAGTAGAGTTAAATACCAGGCTCATTGGCCCTCCATCTATGTTCTGGGTATCCTCAAGACATATAGTAAAATGAAATTCAAAACCTATATAAATGTCTTGAGTAGCGTCTAGTTTCCTAGAGATAGTTTGATTACCTAAACATATGAAGGTGCTGTAGCCATATTTTCACAGATAGGCCTCCAAATCATGAGTAGGATTAGCACCCTTGCTTTCCAAATATGGCTTGATATATGGCAAGGGAGATCGGTAGTGGCATTACTGTCAGATTTTGATTCATAATTGGCTACCTTAATACATAAAGGCACTGCAGCCACTTTATGCAGGTTGGCCTCCAAGTCACAAAAAGGATTTGGTATATCCACTGTCCAAGTATGGCAGAAGTGTCTAATGGATAGAGTTGAATTGGATTTTCTTATAGATGTTGTTACCTAACCTTACACAAGAGACCTATATTGTTAAGGAGTAAGCGATTGACGTCATCAGCTCTGTTTGTGGGGGTAACTAGAATCCCTGGTCTTAATGTATTGTCCTATTAGATTCCTATAAGGTGCAACACCTAGAGATTCAGTCAATAATATGTGCACCGGTTTCTTAGACATATCTAGTGTGAAAGGGAAATTGCATGGTCATATGAATCTATGCAATGGTAATCCCAAAAATGACAA